TAACAGTATCTTCCATCAGAGAAGGTCAAGAAGTGGATGGAGAAGATCTGGATATTTGATTCAGAATCTCAAAGATGATTCTAAAAACCAACTCTGGAATTATTAATACGAATGCTGGGAGGCAGGATTCTCGCGTGTACACGGAAATTACGAAAGCAAAAGGACATAGAAATTTTGACTCAATGGTTTTTGGCTCTGCACGCATGACTTTCCCTCTTTTTGCGCTATTTCCCTCCCACGCCCATGGCTTTCTCCGTTAATTAATTAATTAATTAATTCAAGGAAAAAACCGATGTAAAACCTCTTAACTTCTTTTTTTTGGCAATTGAGCTCCTATAGTTTTTCTAGTGACATATAAGCCCTGTAACTTTTTAAAGTATTATTTATGGCCTAAAAGGTTGTTAGTATTAACTACAGCTTGGTTGGCTCATATGTTTTAAATTTTATTTTTGCATATTTTGAATTGTACTTATTAAATCACACCATATACTTGGTCAAGTCATGAAATTGTATCTAACATGATTAACTAGTGTAAGTAATAAAATTAAAATTAATACAAAATTAAGAAAATGATTTGTTGTTTAACTTATAACTCAACCATTTAAATATAATGGTCAAAAGTATCTCATTAATGAGTTTTGATCAATGAAATGCCAACCTTAACCCTTTTTATATTGGGTGAATTGTTGGTCAAGTGAGTATTCGTTGCCTCTAGCTGCATGCGACCTTTTGTTGTTCATTTTGGGTTGATTTTTGCAACTCAAGCAGTTGATAAGCATATTTGTCTCTTGTCGAAATTATTAAAGGCCCAATTACAAATAGTGAAGATGTCCAAGGGCCTGTGTAGGGTTTTCACTTCTATTATTATTTTATTTTTTTGATATTCAGGATTTTTCCCCTTTATTTAATCAATTGATTTGGATAATTGAATGTTTAATAAATTATGTGTGACCCGATCGGTTAAAAATATTAAAATTTTAAGCTGAACATTTTAAATTTAAATTTTGTAGAGAAAATTTTTTAATGAAAAGTTACATAATTTATTATTTAATATAAGAGTTTTTTATTTATTTATATTTTTATAACATTAGTTAAAAATATATATGTACCTTTTTGCCATGAAAATAATTTTATTTGAACTCGTAATAAAATAAAAGTTAATTTTTTAATATAAATTTATAATATAAATATATTTATTATATTTTTAACACAAATTTAAAAATTCACTTTTAATATATAAAAAAATAATAGTAACAATGGCGTGATGGGCACCCCCTCGGTAGAAAGTCTACGTGGATTCTAACGTTATTGCTTTCGACTTTGGTTGTTGCTTATATCACGATTGAATTTTTTTATATTATTTCTTAATTAAAAAAATTAAGATAAACAAATATTCTTATCCATGTATGATCCGTCCCTCCATCGTTCATTCCTAGAAACCATCAAATGCATCCCCACTGGGCTACTCCAAGAGTCCAAGCCAATAGTCCTCTTTCTCTTGCCTTATCTCCCACTTAATAAATTTGTTAATTTCACCCAAATGGTGTTAAGTTTATACAAATTATTACTTTTAAGCCCCTTAACATTTTATGCTTTTAAAATGTTGTTACTTTAATCTGACCAAGACCAATATTTAAAAGAAAGAAATCATGTAAGGTGGGTCAGGGATGACTTTCCCCTTCTTGGCAGGTGCCTATATATCAAAGTATATGATATCATAGCTTATACATTAATGCTCTCTTTGAGATGATGATGAAATAAGCTACCAATATTTTGCTCAAATAATATAAACCGACAATTATATAATTACAATACATATAAAATTATAAATTTATAATCTTAATATGTTATTAAATAAATAATATATATAATATAAAAAGTAAATCTTTAAATTAAAAAAACTAATGTGAGAATTATAAATTGATGATATCACTAATATTATAATTATATTATTTTAGAATATAAATAACTTAATTATTTTTATCATCAATGTCAAAGGATCCAAATTATCCAAGCAATGAAATTCTTAAAATACTGTGAATATTTTTCAGATTTTGTTTGTTATCTTGGTTATACAATGAAAAATAATTATTTTTTATCTTTTATTTCATTCCACTCGCATATTATGCAACTTAAATTTATGATTTTTTATTTAAAAAAAAAAAAGAGATGACCACTTATTTATTTATTTAAATCATTAATTACTTTTTAAACTTTTGAATCTACAATAAAATAACAAAGTCAGTATCCATTTAATGTTAATCTTCTATTATGGCATGAATTAAATAATCGAAGTGCGCTAAGTTGAAACCAAATATGCGAGGGAATCTTTTCCTTTCACTCCAGCGGAGAGATAGAGGCGTGAAGATGGAGACATGTCTTAATGAAGGAAATTAAGCAAATGTAAAAACCGTGGATTAGTTAGCCAAAAGGCCCAAAACGGCGCTGTGCATGCAGCATATGGCCATGGAGTAGAGGGGTGTTTGGTTGTACGGAGACAGGGAAGATGGTGTGGGGTGGGTTGCTTCAGGGCGGGGAAACATGCGGGCTGTATGGAGGATGGAAGTAGCGTGAAGCGTGTTTTGTGGTGTCAGGCAATTGGTGGCGTGATGCTTATCCCTTCTCCTTTCGGATAGCCTATTAGAAAGCGAAAATGTGCCTGTAGCCTTTAGGTGTTGCCCCAGGCTATGCACACGTGGCCCACACTTTCGCGGACTAAGGGATGTTCCACCTGGAATGATGGTTGACTTAGGAAACATGATGTGGGAACTGAGAAAAAATTTTTTTGGGGGTAATATGAACTGGGGAAATTCACTCCCCAAAAAGACGTAGATTGTGGTCCCAATTTACAATTATAGTATGTATGTGGGCCTAGCCCAAACATGAATGATGCCAAGCCAGTCAGATATAAAATGATGGGCCACCACCTATATAGTCTACACACAAAAGTGGCCCGGAAGAAAATAAATAAATTTTGTAATAGCTCGGGTTAGGAGTCAAGAGTACGGCAAACTAGTCAGATATGTTGGTGAATTTGTAACTCAAACGTTTTTTTTTTTTCTTTTTTTGGGTGATAGTATTGTACCCCAAAGGTTGAATTTATTAATAGTAACTAATAATACCATGTGTAGTTTGAATTTGAGAGAGGCGGAAAGGAGAGGATCGCCAGAGAGGAAAATAAAAGGAAATAAAATAAAATAAAGATAGTGCCCTTTTAATTATTAAATTTAATGTTCAAATCTTAAAACAAGTGATTAATAAATATTTAATTTTCTTTGAATCTTGTCGGTGCTCCTAATTTATCTTTTGTCAATATTTGATTCGTTCGCAGATGCATTGTGCGAAAATTCAAAGTTAAGAATCTTGAGATGAAGAAATAAAAATCAGCAAACTTATGAAAATACATTGTTTTATTTGGATCCAAATGTCATTTTGCTTTCAGACTATAGAAGGTTAGGATCAATTTCACAAACATCACTACAAACAGCTCTTGATTGTACTGTGGTCTCCAACAGGTTGTCTGGCATGTTATTTCAATCAAGGATATGCAGAAGAAAAATATTGCCTGACAAAATGTTGGAACAATAAAAGGGGAAAAAACAAAGACGCGCTAAGCAGGACAAAAGATCAATTAGTTTTGACAATTGTAGTTTCAGCAAAGAAATGGCAGGTAAGTCCTACCTCAACTTTTGAGTTTTGACATCTCAGCTACCAGCACATGTTTGAGCTGCTCGACCCCCTAAAATTATAAATGAGAAAGCATGTCAATCCATTTATGACTAATCTAATGGAAGGAAAACAACTTATAAGTTTGAAAAAAGAGAACGGAGAGTAAACAACCTCATAGGATCGACAATCACCACAAAACACACCCAAAAAGTAACCATCAGTTGTGGTGAAAGCATGCACTTCATGGTAGAGCAGTCCAACCTCATCCAGCACATTCGTCAACTGAAATTTCAGTGAGAGATGAAATGAGAAATACTCCCTTATACCTCTGGGCTATGGTACCATATCACATAACATATGGTTAGTGGGAAAAACTTGATTAACATCAAATTCACCAATTTGCAAGATATTCACAAAGAAGCATAAACCGTTTAGGGATTGAAGACTGTAAGTCTGTACCAACAAATTGCATATAAGCATTCTAATAGAAATCATATCAGAAAGATGATTAACAAAGCTAGAACTGAGAGATGTGTCAAGTACCCGAGAAAAAAGTTTTAGCTTGTCCTTTGTTGCAATTGTGACCTCATGCCTCAGCCTATGAAATGGAGAAAATATGATAAGTTTTTTCTTTTCCCCTCATTCAAGAAAACTTCTGAATAAAAACATATTTTACTTCCTCACTTTTAAAGTGTTTTACTTCTATTCACAACCACGAGAGGGAAAAAAGTAAGAGTAAGAATAAGTAAGCCATAGCTAAAAGGGAAACACTCAAAATGATACACGGTCGATAACAAAATGGTAGATAAGAGCTTATGTGTCAGCACAGTTGGGAAAGTAGCAACCAATAACCAAATATCACGGCTGGTATAATTAAGTCAGGGAAAAAAGTTCAAGTACATAATGTGTATGTACACAACACAATCACCTTATTCAGGAAAATCCTTAACCCAGGAAACAGTACATGGAAATTATAATCAATAATAGGTTGTTTTCATTTTTGTTTGGCAAAATTTAGACTAATAATCCTAACACTATAAAACCCCACTAAGCATGTTGATTGCTGCAAACACAAATTTTGCCTTTTATCTCTGTTATTTTCTGCTTATAGCTATAGAGGTACAGATAATGGTGTACTAATATTTGCTAACCTTGATAGTATAGACAATATGCAACAGAACACAGTAGACATACAAAGGATGATATACTAACCACAAATACATTAGTACATTACTTCTCTCGGGACACCTAGAGGGAATGAGGTGCATGATCGTTTGGATCAACAAAAGAAGGAAGAAAAATATAAACATTATCAAAAAAAAGAAGGGGCAATTTTAGCCAGAAGGAGATTTTTGGGAATTTAAATAGATATGATGAAAAAGAAAGACCAAATAGATATTCGCATAATCTTACCTCTCTTCCCTGGAAGCACAGGGACATTCACATTTAACTTTTTGACCTCGGCTTCCATCAGAAGCAGCATGAATCTGCAGAAAAGAAATATCACAGGATTGCATCTTGCAAAAAGCACAAAGTTTCAGAAATCAACACTTCAAAAATACAAAGATCAGATTAAGGAAAGAATCCTGCAAAACCGGAATCAACAACAATTAATACCTCCACAAGCCGGACCTCAATCACTGGGCTAGTAGTAGCAGGATTCTCAGCCTCTTTAAGCAATCTCTTGTGCATAAGAACATCTTCTGCTCTCTCCACGTCTAAACCAAGAGCGTACCTATCATAACCAGTACTGTTCGAAGAGATCAAAAACCACCAAAATATAAACAACATATTGCAGTTTTTAACAACCTGTCTGGCTCCTAAGAAACGAAACAACATTAAGAGTATATTTGGATGGAAGGAAACAGAAGGGAAGGGAGGGAAGGATATTTCAAAAATTAAGACCTTGGACAATGGATTAATTTGATTAGGCCAAATATTTTTTCCTTGCCCTCCATTTTCCTCAATACGAACATGAAACATGCTCTAAGAAAGTTGAAAAAAAAAGGGTTTAAGTTACTAGCATAAGTTGTTTTTCACTAACAAAGAATCATACTACCAATCTACTGCTAATTAAGCTATATCCTGCTTCATTTGATAATGATGTTCGAAATCGGTTTCCTACTCAGCCAAACAGATTATTCGAAGTAGTAATATAATAGAAGTCAATATTAAAGTCAATATTAAGCAAGGACTATAAGTGCAGTACCTAAGACAAAGCCTCATGAAATGAGTCCGGAGTTCATCCTCGAAGCCAGGAACTGATGCTTCGGCAACCTTCTTCAAGTCTCTGAGTCGCCAGAGAACTTCGTTATATGCTTCCAGTCTCTTCTGGCGCCGTCTCGGATCCTCTGACTGCGCAAAACCTTTACTAGTACAACTATGTCTAATAGTATCTTCCATCACCGAAATAGGTAAGGAAAATGGAGAAGATCAAAGGAATTTAATTCAGATTCTGAAGATGCCAGCTCTAATATAGTAAGGCAGAATTCGAGCGTACTAGCAGTTACAAAACAACACAACATTGAAAGTTGACCAAAACGGTTTTGGTTCTGAGCATTGCGTCCCCACGACTTTGCTCTTTTCTCTGCTCTCTCTTCCACTCTTATCCTATGGCTGAGCCTTCTCTGTCTCATAATTCAATATTTTAATTACGGAAAACAAATAAGCGCCTCAACTGCTTTACTATAGCCAATTGAGCTCATGTAGTTTTTTAGTTACAAATAAGACCCTTAACTTTTCGGGTAGCAAAAAATGGCCCAAAGTAGATGGTGAAGGTCACTAGTGATATGGTGGAGTTCCTTTTCCATGTGGCAAGTTATTAAACAGTAGAGAGTCTAAAGTGAATGTTCGGCAAAAATAAAGAAAGTCTAAAGTGTTCCTTTGTAAAAAAAAAAAGAAAAAAAGAAGAAGCTCTTTTTAGCATGAGATAGTTGAACGTTCGGATATTTGCTTGTTGTACACAACTTTTGTTGTACACTTAGAGCTAATTTCTATATTCAAGAACTTGAAGAGCTTACTTGTCTCTACAGGAAAATGTAGAGGCTAAATTGCTGGTGGTGAATATGTTATAGGACCTTATCAAATATTTATTTTCTTTATTTTAATGATACAAGAAGTTTAGTAAATTAACTGAAGTGGTACTTCAAATTTAATTTTTTTTGGAGTTTAAGACGAGAAATGCCTTCCAAAGTCTACCACTCTTTCTTTGGACAGCTAAAATAAGTTAGCAGCAATTTATACATTAGAAAGATGCTCGTTTTTAAAATTTTAGTAATTAATGCAACACTTAAATTTTCAATATAACTTCTTAAATAAAACAAAATGTGTCTAGAAATTGGCTAAGAGATTCTTGAACTTTTCTTTTTCTTTTTTCCTTTTTTGAACTTTAATATAATATATAATATATTGTTATTATTATTGTTGTTACTGTTATTGTTATTGTTATATGATAGAGATCTATTTATATATAAGTTTTACACATTATATTTACACAAAATATTAATCATTAATTCATTCACTTTCAATTGTTAAGATTTATCACAATTTTTTAGATGAAAAAAATAATTATTTTTAATAAATATGATAAAAGGTGAATAAATTTCAACAATTAAAAGTGAAAAGATAAATTATTAAGATTTTATGTAAATTTAATGTGCTGAGATTTATCGTAATTTTTTAGATGAAAAAAATACTTATTTTTAATAAATAAATAAATCTCAATTAGTTAAAATGAAAATAAGGATAATCAATATTTTATATAAATTTAATATATAAAATTAAAGTTTAAAACTGTAAATACATCATAATCATATATATTCAAGCAATATCGTTTAAATTCAATTTTTTATTTAGGAAAAAAAAAAAAAAACTCGTTTGAAACGGCGTAAGCAACTTCATTCAGCAGCATGAATTCTGCCTGTCAAGAATTGGCATGCAAAGCAGTTTCCTAGCTTGTCTTTGACTTTAGTTATGGCTTATATCACCCACCATTTTTTTTATATACCTTAAAATTAAGATGCAGAAAATATTCTTATCCTGAATAATCCATTTCCATATCGTTGATTCATGATGCCACCAATGCACGACCACTCGCAGCAAGGAGGCTTCCTCGTATTGCCTCATCTCCCACTAATAAATTTGTTTGTTTCACCCATAGGATTGGATGTTACACCTATGCAAATTGTTAATTTAAGTCCTTTAATTTTTTTTATCTGTTCCTTAAAAATATAAAGTAAATATACAATAAAAATATCTTTTAATATTTAATTTACATAAAAATATATAAAAATTAATTTTAATTTTAATTTTAATGTCACATGATTATTTTCATTAAACAATTTAATAAATTTAATATTAATTTTTATTTTTTTAATATTAATTAATTATTAACAAATATATTTATTATTATTTTTGGTATTAACCTTTTGGTATCTGATAATTACATTGGATTCCAATTAATCCGAAATCGAACCATGTTGGACCTCATTAGAAGAGAAACTCTTTTGACACCTGTTTCTCTATTTATAAGACTCGAATTCGAGATTTTACTTAGGAAAAACTGAATTCCTTCCATTTGAATCAATATGTCATTGGTTAATAAATATATTTATTATATTTTTAATTTATATATATTTTTTGTTTGCTTTAAAAAAAATGTCATTACTTTAATCTGAACATCAACGTGAACTAAGAGAGAAGGCACACAGCTGGCAGGAGAAACCCGGGTTGACTCTCTTAGGGTTGAACCAAATGTTAATGGGACAAATTAAATATTTGAGGGGCAGATTTCAAACCAATTATGCCGCAGAATCTTTCCCTTTCACTCCAACGAAGGAGTAGAGCAGAGGCATGAAGATGGAGGCATTTCAAATTTTTGATTTTCAACTAAGGGAAGTTAAGTGTCGGCCAAAAAAAAAAAATAAAAATAATGGAAGTTAGTAAAACCTTGGATGAGGCAAAACGGCGCCGCACCATGGCAATGGCGTGGAAGGGGTTTGAGAGTTGGCCAGGCGTGTGTTAGGGGCGCATTGGGTATGGGCCTGGGTATCCTGTTATCTTAAATTATTTAGGTAAACATTACACTTGAATAGTAAAAAATTTTAGATAAGTAATATGTGTGAAAATAATATATTTATAAATATTAAGTTAACTAATAAATATAGAATTTTAAAAGTATTTATCTAACTCATTTAATTGATTTGTTATTTGTATTTATATAATTAAAATTATATATTTATTATACTTAATATTTATATAATAACAATAATTTTTTAAAAATAAAAAAATTAAATACAAATTATAAAGAAAAAGTTAAAAAAAAGTTTATAAGCAAAATAAATCACAGATACAATAATAGTAACTTGTATAAAACCTCTTCTTTGGCTCTCTTTTTCCTAAGCTCATTTAATGATATATGGAAATTGTATAAAAATATGTGACAAAAAGGTTGTTCCAAGTGTCACCCTAAATTAAGTACCAAATATAAAATTTTAAATGTTTAAATAAATATCAAATCAAAAAATTTATACCTAAAAATTTTTAAATTAAATACTAAATATAATTCATCCCAAACCTGTAATTGAAACCACTCGCCCAAACATGGGTACCTCAGGCTGGAATAGATGTGGCAAATTCAACCCAAAGAAATTGTCTCGTTTGTGGGCTCGTTTTGTGCATAGGCCTAGCCCAAACTTTGAAAGATGTCGACCCAATCGAAGGACCTAGTACTTATAACAGATTAAAACTATTAGTATCCACAATTTCGTATCATGAGAAAGCCCAAAATTTTGTAATAACATATTGCTTAAAATACAATGTTTCTTTGTCAAGAATTTAATTTATTTGTAAATTGGTCTCGTTCAAAATTGGAGTTTAAGTAAAAAAAATTAAAAGAGTTGTATTCACTTTTAGATAAAGTTTTAACTGGTTTTATTTATTGTTCTACCAAGAAATGGGGTACTTTAAAGATTTTTTTTTTTAATTTTTATACTAACATCTGGATATCTGATAACCACATTGATTCTGATTAATTCGAAATTGAATTGCATCAGATCCCATTAAAAAAAAGTTCTTCCAATATTTATTTTTCTATTTATAAAACTCGAATTCAAAATTTTATTTAATAGAATTAAATGTCTTTTATTTAATAGAATTAAATGTCTTTTATTTAGACCAACATATATGTCGTTTGTAGATTAAAGACTTATTGAGATCTATCAAAATTGGAGTTTGACAAACAAAATGTACTAATGTTTTATTTGATGAATTGTAAAATAAAAATTCTAGACTACCATAAACAAATTCTGATGTTAGAGACTACTATGTATTATTAATTAAGTATTCTTAAATTCGTTCCAGAAAAGAAAAAGAAAAATTTTATTCCTCATGAAAGCAAGATCTTTTCCCAATATTCACAGTCATTGTCCTGTTCATCTGATTTGTGCAATTTACCCGAAGGAGAAGAGAAAATTACCTGAAGAAAATTAAGAATGATTTAGAATGCAACAGTACGTTGCCTACAAACATACTAATTTAGTCTTTAATAACAAAATTAGAGTGAATTATATTTACCCGATACAGCTCCAGACCAGTAACTCCACCCAAAATCTTGAACAACCTTGATTCACCAACTTTATCTAATGGGATCCCAAGGCAAGCCAGAGCAACATTTGAGCGCAATCCAATCAAAACCAATCCAAAAGCCACCAGAATGCAATGTTTCACGGCGAATGCAAAACCCAGATAAGAGGCTATACAAACCAAATACAGAAATATGGTTTGTTGTAGGATTGAAGAAGTGCTAAATTTGATATGCAGAAAAAGTAATTTTAAGAGTTCAAATTAATATTTTTTGCTTCGAGAAATCTAAAATAGAAAATAAATAATTAGTGCAACACATCATACCTTGCAATTTTTTGAGCTTGAACTAATAGAAAACGAGTCCTGAATTGGCAAAACAATAAGAAGAGTTTGTCAAGCCAAATCAAAACCATTAAATAAAGGTCACTCTATATATTATTTTTTCTTACGGTTAACATCTTTAAAAATTTTCACTCTTAGTAAACACATTTCATAGTTTAAAACAGTAAAAAAAACTCAAAAATTAATGGTCAAATCTCTTATTTACACTCTAATTACGTTAGTAATTTGGCGGTTTTTTTTTTTATAGAATTTAAAATATAAAAGATGTTAATCAAAAATAAAAATTATGAAGAGTGTTGATTGTGAAAAAATAATATGCATTGGGCTTTGGCCTTAAATAACTAATGGGATGGTGGAAAATTAAAAGTTTTTAACAATTAAAACAATAAGAATGATAATGTAAAAAATTAAATATTATTAATAAATCAATTCATGAAAAGTATGCCAAAAAAGTTATAATTTTTACTTTATTCATGTAATAATAAAGTCTTGCCTCCATTTGACTGTCACAGATTAAAAATTAGAC